AGGTGTATGCATTAAAGATGGAATGGCACTGAAAAAAAGAGAAATTAAAATCACTGCAGTCAGCCTTGCTCCCCATGACAGCAGTAAGACTGGCTCTGAAATGCTGGGAGGATTCACAAATGACTCCTGATCAAAAAATCTGAAGTGAACTTATCAATTAGAGCACATTGCCTCTGATTCTCTCTTTGTATAGACCAAGGAGGAAATTCTGGGAAGGAAAAAATCAATGCAGCAGCAGCAGCACTGGCCTCTTACCTGCCTGCATTTTGCTGAGGGCTTTAATAGAATGAGAGAATCACAGAATAACAGAATCAATTACAGAATCACAGAGTAACAGAATCACAGAATCACAGAAAGACAGAATCACAGAACACAGAATCACAGAATCATAGAATCACAGAATTATAGAATCACAGAATAACAGAATGACAGAATGACAGAATCACAGAACACAGAATCACAGGAACATAGGATCACAGAATAACAGAATAACAGAGTAACAGAATAACAGAATCACAGAACAGAGAATCACAGAATCACAGAATCATAGAACACAGAATCACAGAAACACACAATCACAGACTCACAGAATCACAGAATAACAGAATCACAGACTCACAGAACACAGAATCACAGAATCACAGAATCACAGAATCAGTCACAGAACACAGACTCACAGAACACAGAATAACAGAATCACAGAATGGTTTGGTTGGAAGGGCCCTCAAAGCTCAGCTCATTCCAAGTCCCCTGGCAGAAGCAGCTCACTGATGAAGACATTTCCTCTCTCTGAGCTGGCAGCAGAGCTTGATCCTCTCCTGCTGCTGGAAAACAACGCTGTCACTGCACACTGGTCATTCCAAACTGCAGCCTGACCAAGGAGAACATTTCCCAGCAGAGCCAAAGGATTTTGAGAGCAGTATTTGTCTTGTAGCAAACTTCAGGAATGTTATTAATTCCTGTGTCAAGCTGTGCTGACGTTTTGGCTGTTTCCTTTAGAAATGTGCATTTACAGAATATATTGATAATGACAAAAATCTCAAATAAACAGGCTTTTTGTGCCACCCTGTTGGTGATCAGTGAAATTTGGCATCGCCCAGAGCATGATCCTCAGAGCTCTCAGGGCAAGAGGGAATTCTGATTACTTTTATTTCTTACCCTGTTTTAATATCTTTCATTCATGCTGGCACTGCTACCACTTGAAAGGATTCCAGCTTTGGTTTAAAACATGATTTTTAACAAATACCTGGAAATAGAGTAAAAAAAATTGAAAAAAATACTTGCAGGAATGGCTGAAGCTCATCTTTTTCCATGGGCAATTCCAATCCCTTAATGAGAACATTAAAGACGTGATTTMGACACAATCCAGATTTCCTCTGGAAATCTGACTTAAAAGCGCTCCTACACAAATACAGGATCATTTTTCTGTAGGAATTTCCCCTCAGTTTGTCCAAAAGATCACTCTTCCACAGGGAGGATTGTGTGTTTATGAGGGAGACAGTAAAACAACTTGTTATCAGCAAAGCCTGGGCCATATCTGAGACATCACTGCTGCTGTGATTCAGTGTGAAATGATAAAAACCCGGGCATGGGGCTGAATTCCTGAGCTGCAGCAACAATTCCAATYCTTTGCTCAGCCAGCTCCTCGCAGCCCTAGAATTCTACAATCAATATCTGTATCTGGGCTCCTACATTTATCTTTTCCACCTTTCCCCATTACCTGCCTGCCAGAGTGACCAAATGAGCCTGATATCCCTCAGCCTTTACTGTTGCACTGTGCCATTGTCTAGAAATCCTAATTTCAGCTCCATTTTCAGTACATTACTCCTGCCTGCCTTTTCATTCTGTTTGCCTAATGCCCAGAGCAACTGGCCCATGATTTGGGCTGCTAATTAGCGCTGGGAAATGAAAAAAAAAAAAATCTTCCTGTGGATGGTGCTGGAAGGCAGCTCTGTATGAACAGAACAAAAAGAACAAACCCTTGTGGAGGGGGTGACAGATACAGAGTGTTAATGAGTTCCAAAGCACCAAGGATGCTCTTTGAGGATGGTTCCTCATGTGGAACTGTGTTTCTCAGCCCAGCTGGAAGCCCCAGGAGCTGCTGAAGCAGTGAGAAAAGGTCCTGGAGCTTTTCTCCTGTCTGCACCCCTGGAACGGCAGCAGTTTGATCCAAACCCCTCGGGAACTCCAAGTTTTCCAAAATAAATGAACGTACAGCTCCTCCCCAGCTGTGCCAGGAGATGCAGAGCAGCTGGTGAGGGAGGTGAACTCAGCCCTTGGTGGCATTTTCTGGGTTCCCAAGGCACTGCTTTCCTCTCCCTGGTGCTGGGATTGGGGGTAGCTCARCCATCTCTTCCTAATCCAGGCATTCCTGTTCCTCACTCGGGGATAAAAGCAAAGATTTCCCAATAAATAGGACAGGAACAACTCAAGAAAGAGTGTAAACACCACTTCTGCAGTGGACTTTGTGGTCATTTTGAGAAAATACTTAGAGGAACAAGATTGGCTGCTCCCCAGGCAGGGAGAACCCCAACAGTGGTGGAACAACACACTGGGAATGTGCTCAGACAGGAATTGAGAGAGGCACAGGGGATGGGGGAATTTAAGAGGAAAGAGAACACCAGAATGGGGCCAGCACATCAGTAACTCAACCCCAGTTATTTCTCTTTTGCAGAAAAGAAATTCTGCATCCTGCTGCAGCAGCGACTCTCTGAAATGACCCCGGTACATGTGTTCATGAAGATAGGTTAAAGAAAAATACCATTTCTGGTATTTCACCCCACCCTGAGCAGGACAAAAATTCCTCTGGGAGCAATGAACTCCCTCCAGCACCCGTTCCCCAGAATCAGAGTGAAGCTGGCAACACAAAGCAGGTATTTGGTTTTTTTTTCCCCTTATTCATCCCACAAACCTGGGGCTAAACCTGCTCCAAACTCAGCATCTCCCATTAACTGTGCTGAGATCTTCCTCCACTTGAGCCCTGGGCAGGATATTCGGGTTTCCAACACTCCCACAGGATTCCTGTCAAAAGGCAAGTCCTTCTCAGCTCCTTAGGATAGAGTGACATCTTGTGGTTTCWTCTTTTGTCCACCTTTGACAAATTAAAATTAGCCCAAAGAGCCTTGGCTAAGCTTGGGTTCTTGTTCTGGTGGACACCAAGATCTTATTTCTTTGAGGAATATCACATTCTCAGTTCCCAAACACTGATACCAAAATTTACTCTGCCACCATCAAGGCTTGTGGAAGGAGAGAGAAAATTCATGAACAGCAACAAATCCATTGTAACTCACATCTCAGCAGGATTTCAATGTCACACAGTGGGTCACTAAACCACCATGATCAGAGGAGTTTCAGTGATTTATTTTCTGAAAAAGCCTCCACCACAAAGCAGGTTTAAATTTAAGACTACAYACCTAAACTCATGTATGAGCTACCACTGATAAATTCCCCCTGCCAAAAAAAAGTCAAAAAAGACAAAATTATTAAGCTAGTTTTGTAGTGAAAAAGCAGCAGCATCTTTGAAAGGAATATTATACAAAAATCTGGAGTAAAAACCACAATGGAATAGTATTCATGTACCTATTAACTGGTAAAAAAAGTATCACGACTGAAAACTATGGGAAAAAAACCAATTAATGTTGTTGTAAACCAGGTAATTCTCAATTTTCAATAATCAGAGAAAGCCTATTTTCCATCTGTAAGGGCTGGRAGAGCAGCAGGTGAAGTCACAAGTGTTTGCCTTCCTATTTTCACTGGTTTTCCAACATTCCCACTATAATTCTGAGAATTAGATTTTGATATCCTCTATAAACATTTCTGCCTGGCAGCTGGCCTTCCAAAATTCAAASCTTTAGCTCAAATCTCTTTTCAGCCCTTCCTTTAGTAAGGAGCTGATGCAAAGAACAGAAAATTGGTCAGGAAAATTGGACAGGGCTGAAAATAAACATGACTGAGGGTTTCTCATGCCTTTCCCAGTCAGAGTGAAAAATCAGCCTGGGAAAAAAAAAAAAAGTTAGAAAGCTTAAAAATCAGGCTAAGATTAAACCCACAGGAGATCCTCAGCATGTTTGAAATATTTAAATATGAAGCCCTTGTGTAACCCACATCAAACTCATTTTACCTGCAGTAGAAYTAGTTCTGGTCTTGGTAAAATTAGCCCGTTCCTTCTGAGCAGCACTCCCTTCTTCCCTCCCAAGCACAACATTTTTAGCTCCATAGAGCTAAAATTACCATTTTCATCTGAATTTGAATACAAAAGCTGTCTTACCAAGTCCAGACTATAATACAGAAAGGTAATAATCACCAGCAACCTAAGGAACCCCAATTGTGAGACAATTCAAGGAGGCAGAGCCAGAAATGTGCTCAAAAGCCCTTTTCTTTTTTCAGAGGAACATTTCCATCCTCCACAGAAACATCCATCACGTCCCAGCCTGACCTGCAGGAGCTGCAGCAGTAGAAAGAGTGAACAGWGTGTCAGATTTTGGAAGTTCTTGCATGAGTAACTTCGGGAGCAACATCTCTGCTGCTCTGAAGGGAGTGAGTGCCAGGGAAGCTGTAACTGCAGTTCAGCCAAAAGGCATTTGTTCAGAGAATTCCAAAGAAAAAACTCCTATTGAACGAGAAGAAACCCCTTCATTATCCAAAGGTTTGTGTTTATGATCTGTTTCAAAGCAGCTCCTCCCTCCTTTTCTCCTGTTCTCTCTCACCTTTTTAATAACCTCTGTTCTCTTTGTGTTTTGCACAGTGAGGGAGGCAATAATTACAGAGCTCTCTGCTGACAGTGGGTGCTGCTCCTCCTCTTCCAAATGGAAACAGCAACTAATTCCCCTGCTAATATTTACCTGTGCTACGTGTCATTCTCCTCTCTGTCAGTCTATTCTCAGGGAAAAGTTAGAAAATGAAAAGGATCATGTTCTTCCTTTAGACATTTATTTATGAATAGAACGTTTTTAGACGCTTAAAATTAAGTCAGGGCGAGGTGTTTTTTTTGGGGGAAAGAGTGTTCTAGAGGCCTGAAATGAGATATTGAAGAGTGGAACAACTGCTGTGGGGGAGAAAAAATATGTCCACACGGATGCCATTACTACTGAACTCTTTTACTTCAGTCACACACAGAGCTTTCTACACTGACAGGTCTCAAATATTCATGCGATCAGATTTTATTGTCATCAACACTTAGGGGAGGTCGGTGGCAGAGTCACATGCAGGAGCATCCAGAAAAGCAGCACTGGAGAATCACGTGGGACAGTTCACACAAAGTCTACCACAGTCAGAGAACCAAATCCAGGGCGTTCCAGGGCTGTTCCCTGCTCTGCCAGGGACAGGAGGAGATCACAGAGTCCACCTTGGGGCTTCTTCAGCTCTACAAATGCCCACCAAGCTCTGCCCTTTTGGCATTAACTCAGAGCTGCACACATTCTCTGCTCCTGTCTCATTGATCAAGTCAGTCTTTGGACTGTAAAAAAATTACAAATAATGGATTTGCAGTTTTCTGCTTTACAAGTCACTAGAACAAGAAACAGTTGTCGACGTGTACACAACTTTATTTTAAGGACACAGCAATCACAATGACAGAAACAGAACCATTACTTTAATACTGTAAGCTTTCCTCTGGGAACCGACTTGCACACAGTTAGATCCGAAAGCATTTTGAAACAGTATCTTGGGGGGAAAACACAGCAAACCTTAAATATATTAACTTCAAACTTTATGTGCTTATCTCCTCCTTTTGGCAGCCGGTGGCAGTTAAAGCTTTTCGAAGTCGTGGCCACTTGAATTCATTGCCTCGGGGTGCATTACCCTTCCCATGAATAACACGGTGCCTGTGGAAAAAGGGGGCAGGGAGGGAGGGAGGCAAGATGTCAGAAACAGAATGAGAAGCTGAGGTTTATAAAAAAAAAAACAAACAACAAAAACCTCTAGAGCAGTGCTGGAGGGTTTTTATAGGGACAAAAGTCTCAGGATTTGGTACCAGGAAATGGCTCGAGAGCCCTGCTTGAAGACAGCAACCAAAGCTGAGTGCTTCTCTGGAGAGGAAGAGCAACCAACTGCATTTTTTTCAAAAGGTTTCCAACCTCAGATTTCTGAGTTAGTAACAGGCTTTGAGGCTTTGTTAGCCARCAAGGGCTCTGCAAGGTTAAGAACTGCCCCAAAGTGATCAGGTTCTACTCAGTCCTGATTTGAGCTTTTCTTTTTGGGGAGTTTTTTGGATATTGAGCAGCAGTAAAGGACAGATACCTTCCTGCAGATATATTTTTTGCCTAATGTTTCTACAACAGCAAGGATAATCAATTTATTATGGATAAAAAAACCCCAAGAGTTGGTATCCTGCCTTGTTGGCCTGGTTTCAGCTGGGATGGAGTTTATTTTCTTAGTACCTTGTTCAGTGCTGTGTTTTGAATAAAATCCCAGAAGTGGCTCTACCTAAGCAGAATAATCACCACTGCCACCTCAATGGGTTAGAAAACACTGATCCTGTGGTGGGAKCACAAACACAGAGCCCTAAAATACTCTGTGGGTGCACAGCAATATTTTATCATCCACTCATGCACATCATGACAGCAAATTACAAATATGAGACCAAGGAATTCCTTAATCCTCGTCCCTTTTGCTGGTGAGTGMTGCTCTCATCCCTCACCTTGGAGAGCACAACAGAATCATTCAGAGCTGCCATGTCCCTCCTTTATGCAAATCATATGGTACTGGGAGCAAATTTCACTGGTCTGACCACCAAGCTCTCAGGGAATGCAATGATTTCGGATATTCAGGGTGGTAACATTCTGTTCTTACAACAAAATCAGTGAATTTTTCTTCCCTGGGGTTTTTAATCATGCAGTTGTGAACGTTTTTCAGGGTTATGCTGGATTTTGGTGTTTTATTTGGAGAAAGATTGAGGGACATGGAAAAGGTGAGTTTTTCAATATTAGCTCTTAGAAGACAAACTGAGGAAAATCTGCAATACAAGCCCAGTTCATCGGTCAAACCACACAATTTCCCTTTGAACACTAGAAAAACTCATGAAAAACTCAGAAGAGCCTGCAATATTCTCACCTGTTCTTCTGTTCCTGACCAAAAAGAAGAAGGGATGRTCCACTATGACCTGGGGGTAGAGCACTGCCATTCTGCTGATGGCAATCATTCCTGCAGCAAACACAACACAAACATTTCATTCAACATCTCTSAACAGCAGAAACCTTTGTGTGATGGGCCACACTCAACTCCAAGCACCACCAAAAACCAGCAGGGAAATATGAACTGGAAATGGAAGAGATCTGCAGAGTAATTGCCTATTCTGGCTTTAAGAATGATTAACAATGCAGAGTGCTGCAATTTCCYGGGCTGAGGGAGCAGCAGATGAATTTTAAGCTGCAGAACCTTCAGAGGAGTTATGGGAGCTGCTCACTGATGGAAGGGAAGTGCAGTGCATGAACAGCACTGCTGACCTGTTTTACACAGCTCCCAGCCCCACTGGAGAGGGAAAGGGAACCCTTGATAAATATGCAAAAAATCAGTTTTCTGATTATCAAGGGAACCCTTGATAAATATGCAAAAATCATGGGCTGATCCCAAGGCTTTTGACTGAGAAAAATTTTAAAAATGTGGAGGCTGAAGGTAAAATTAACTGCAAATCAGGCAGAATTTGGCTCTCTTTGTTATTTTTATTTGGAGATGCTTGGATTTCTCCAGGACACTATTGTTTATWCCCAGGGTTTCATTCACTTTTAAATTTTCACTTTTTATGTTCATAAAGGAGCATGCCTGTAATCTCTGGGCATAATTCCACCCAGATCTGGCAAGTAATTCCCTTCCTCAAAGACTGGTGAAGAAGAGGCAATCAAAAACCACCTAATGGTACATATGGGCAATTAATGTAACTTATTTTCATGTGATAATGATGGAAACCAAGCACCTGCCCCCAGCAGTAACAGGGGACAGCTCTGGTTGTGCATTCAGCACTTCCCCCTCGTGTTTCTAAACATGAGCTTATTAAAATGCAGCTGCAACAACCCCTCATCTCCTCCTAATTCTCCTGGACCAAATGTCTCTGACCATCTCAATTAGCAGGTGAAAAATGATGAACGCTGAAGTTCCAGAAAGGAAACACAAATTGCAGTCTGTACTCTCCTGACAGAAAGAAAATAAACAACAACAGGTTTTTCACAGGATGCTCAAAATATTTTGTGAAGCACTCGTTAAAAAAGTGCCAACACTTTTAATTTCCAGAATTCTCTTCTGACAGCACTACTATGCTGGGTCTCCATGCTACCTTCTATTTAGCTTTCCTGGCTGTACAGCAAGYCAGTTGTAAAAAATTAATTAGCACAGAATAACCAGACATTTGATTTAATTCTGCTTTTCAGTCAGGTACCTGAGGCAGCAGCAGCTTCTGATCCTTCCTCATTAACTTCTAGAAATGCCTTGTGAAATGCCTTTGCAAGGTAAAGCTCCTTGTTATCTGCAGAGGAAAAGGGAACATATTTCAAGTGGCTCAACAACAAGATTGAAGCATTTAAAAAAAAACACCCAAAACACTGCCAAAACCCCAGCACCATCATCCAAAACCCCAACACTATCATCCACCTTCTACACCAGGTAGGGAARAGCTTTGTTGTATTAAAACACCTTCTGCCAATACCTTTTAACAGCACTATTTACCTCACTGAAATTTGTAGAGTTCTCCTACACCATGGATACTAAAATAGCTCAGGACTGCCCAGAGCACCAGTAGAGCAGAGAAGGTAAAAACAGTCCTTGGAACAAGATTATAAATACAATTAGTGGGGAAAAAGATTAAGACATTATAGGGAAATAATTAGACATGAAAGAAAAAAAAAAATCATTTCTGCACTAGGTACAACACAGACTTCCTGCAGGAAAATGAGGTCTTTTCTTTCTCCTTCTGTTATATTTATAAGAGGTTGAAGATACATATTTATTGCAAGAACCACCACAGAGCTGTTTATTTTTTGTTTGTTTGTTTGTTTTCCATCCTTCTTTGTCAGTATTTTAATTTCAGTCCAAGCCTGCTCCTGCTGAAGTCAGTGAATGTTTCATTGCTTTTTGTCAGAAGGATCAGCTCTATTGGATACTCAGCAGCTGCAATGCCAAAGAAAGCCAAAGCCACGAGGAGCAGCAGTTGGAGAAGTTTTTCCCCAGCAGATCTCATTTGCTGCTCCRTACACTGAGGAGAGTTAAAATTCCCAGTTCAGCTGCTTCACTTCAATCCCACCAAAAAAAGCCCCAAACCATCCTCACTGGGACTGGGAAATAAAATGTAAATGATGCTGCTGAAACTTGTACCAGCTCTAGACTCCAGTCCCACGTCCTCAGTGCTACCCTGAAAACTGGGATTGAGCTTCCACCCTGTTCCTTTAAAATATGGGATTTCATGCAGCACCTCCTTTAATATTAAATTCATTAATTTGTTCATGWTAAAGACATTTTGAGTTGACAGGAACACAAGTGCCACTGCAGGTGAGAGCAGCTCACTGCACCAGCTCTGTTCCTTCAAAAGAAGACAGAAAAAGCTCCACAGATGAAAACTCCAGCACAACTGACAAGAGAAAAATATCCTCTCACCCTTCTACCCTAAGCCAAGGTTTTATAGRCAGAATGCCTTTCTTCAGTGTAGTATGGATAGTTGTGATTGCTCTGGAGCAATTTCATTTTTTTTTCAGTGCTGCCAATCTCAAGGAACACCGAGCAAAGATCCCTGTGGTTAAGTTTTTCATGAGAGAARCACTTTCTATTTGTTTTCCATTTGTTGCCTTTCACTTCATTGGATGTCTTTGTCCTTGGATGATGAAAAGAGCAATTCCACAGCCCAAATTACCTTCTCCAGATTCTTCTCTTTATATTGTTACTATCGCATCCTTCTCATTCATCTCTCCCTGCAGTGAATGAATCTATTTTCATATGAAAGCATAATGTTGTCACTGAGAATTCAGGCAGCCTTTTCTTTGATCTGCTCTGTGATGCCCCCAGGATTATCCATCTTCCCTGGTGGCTTTCACAGGGGACAAGGTGGGGCTCACCTGAGCATCTCCCATCACATCAYTCCTCTCCAGGAGCTTCTTGGAATGCAGATTTTGAGAATAACCACCAGATTTTGAGAATAACCAGCGTGATTTGGTTGTTAACATTTCAGGGAAGTCCCTTGGTGGTTTGGTGTCAAAGTTTCAGCTTTGTGCAGGGCCCCAGGCTGACCTGGGGGTGAGTGGGAGGGAGCTGAAGCTGCCCCCTAATGAACACGACTCGCTTGGCATCACACCCCRTTTGTCACTGCTCTCCATATGGCTGCAAACTCCCACTCAGCTGCCAACTGGCTGCTCTGCAAGGCTCATTTTACAAAAAAAAAATATCATGTGGGTTTATTGGCTCTCCTGGCTTAGGCTGTCCCAGAAAAATTATATGGATGTCAGTCAAGACTTGCCAGAGCTATTTACTGGACTGATGCTCTTCTAAGTGCTGTGCACTGTGCAGGTAAGTCACTGAGATCACTTCATTGCTCACTGTCACACAGGTCACCTTGCATTAAAAGCAGCTGCTTTTAAGACTCCATAAAACAGGCAGAAATATTATAATCATCTGAAGGAGAAGGGGAGTTTTAGTATTGAAATTAGCTCAGTGCTAAGTCTTGAGCAGTGTCAAAACACTCAAGCAGTGAATTTATGCGCTGTGCAAAAGGATAAAATCCCAAATACCAGAGGTTGTTTCAAGATTATTTTGGACACGTGGTGGAATCAGATGCAAGTAAATCCTGTCAAAGTCTTTTCTGAAAGTGAGAGTCAGAACASAGGAGACCTGACAGCCAAACAGAAATGTCCTCCTACTCACCTGGGATAATTTCAAAGAACTTCATTTCTGCAAGGGAGTAACATTTGAGAAGTGTACCTGGATTAATACTTTCTCTTTGGTTGATTAGAATCCAGGCATTCCAGAAGGCAAAGCTGATCCTTCTGGCTCCATTTTTCAGATTAAGGGGAAAAAGCAAAAAAATTCTGAATATTGAAAAATAACCATGCAAAATTTGGTTCATATCCACTAAAAAAAATACAGAATTTTGTTGAGCCCACCGATGTCCTGGGTCTGACTGCAGGATTAGGGCTGCTGTTGAAATTGCAGGTGATTTTCCCTGCCAGCAATGCCAAAGCAACAGGAGAGGAGGAGGAGAGGCCTTTTAAACACACCTGAATTTCTCAAGAATCACTTCTGATTCAAGTTGATTTCTTGTCTTCCTAGATTAAATGTCCAGTTAAAGATTTTGTTGAAAAATCTGCATTTAAAGCTTTGTGAAGTGCCAGATTTTCCAGAGGGCTGACCCTGAGATGATGTAAACTTCACTTCCCTGCTACCCAATGCCCCACTCAGGTCCCTGCAAAAGCCACYTTTGAACAATTTGTCCTCATGACTTTTATTTTCCCTTCCTCCAGCYGTATTTCACATTATGAAAATTAGAAACAGGAAACATATTTTGTATTTTAATTACTTAATACTTCATTTTCACAGCGTCAGCAGTGGGGTTTTCACTAAAGGCATTACATCAAAATAATTTTTTTATTCTTAATTTACAAGTGACCTTTCCATACCCAGGTTAACTATCACCTTTTCAGTGAAGAGCAGAAAAAAATTACAGTAAAACTCAAGGATTTTCTCCATACACTGCTTTATACTTAAACAAGTTAATCTTTCAATGCACAGGAGTTAATTCACTCGTGCAGAACGTGGCATTTTGATTCTGTACAATTGTACAGCACAATTGTCAGAAATATAAAACTTTAAACAAATCATTAGTCACATGGATTAAGACACAAGCACGTGATTCTTCCTGCCAACCTCTTGGTAAATGGATGTCCCTGATATAGAAATGAATTTTACATGGAACTAAATAAGAGCCAGGTGCTGCCTTTGTGGCTCCCTGGGCATTTTCCAGTCTCCTTAGTGCTGTTGCTCAAGTAAATAATTTCCTATAAATAGACCAGAATATAGTGGGAAGCTGACTTTTCTTTGAGAAATGGAAGGTGTTTTTCTTCAGAAAAAATGCTATTTCTTTGAAAAGGAGTTTTCCTTTTATTTCTCYTCTTTTCATGTTAGCTAAAGCCAGCTTTTCCCAATTCCTCTGGAGAAGTGAAAAGTGGCAAAGCAGTGGAATAAACATGATGCACTATARAGAATATTTCAAACTTAGCAAAAATGAAAGGCTAAGAACATCACAAACATTCCTCTGGGAATTTGGGAGGAAAGATTGCCTTTTTTACCAGTGTTGTGACAAAGGCACAAAGGTGGGATTGTCCTGGTGACAGGCAAAGAAGAACAGGGATTTGTCATCAGCTAAGGATCTACCTGCATGGCTGGAGAGCTAAAAAAACCCAAAAATCACACAGATGGCAGTGTGCCACTGCAATACAGAGCAGATGTGACTGCTTTGGATCCCTGGAAATGCTCAGGACCAGGTTGGATGGGGCTTGGAGCACCCTGGAATAGTGCAATGTGTCCCTGYCCATGGCAGGGTGGATGAGCTTTAAGRTCTCCTCAAACCCAAACCATTCTGGGATTCCATCAACACCTTTAAGAGGTATTAAAAGCATAAATATCTCATTTCCACGTGGATTTTTAAAGGTATTGGATATTTCAGCTTCAAAAAATTGAAGTATTGACAACATACTGCAACAAGCAGGTGGCATTTGGGACTAAACTGCTTTTATCTCCAAACTCTTCCTTCCTGTGCTGCTTCCAGAGATTTGGAGAAAGGAACTCTTAGTGTTCCTGCAGCCAGGAGACACAGGATGACCCCCAWGGGATGTGAATTCTGCTCTGAAATACTCAGATTGAAATGAAAAATTTCAGTGAAAGGTGAAAAATGCATTTCTGCATCTACCAGGAGAGACAAGACAAGAAGCTCTTACCAGACATGGCAGTGAGGTCAGCACTGCTGCTGAACAGCTCTGTAATTCCCAGACCTCTCCAGACATCCTTCAGATCAATTTCCTGTTCTACTGTGAACCTGCAGAATGGAAGAGAAAATTACAGAAAGCCAGATGTAAGCACTACTTACTGTTATTAGAAGATTAAATTTTCTAGGTGAAAACACCGAGATAAATAATGCAAAGTAGGAGACCCAGTGCTRGTGACACCTTCCCAAAAATGCTTATAAACAAATGAGTTTACTCACAGCTGGATTTTTTTTTTTCTAATACAGAAGCAATCAAAAATATGCTAATGGTACGTGCAGCCCCTGCCCATAAAACTGCAGTGCAAAATTATGCAGCAGCTAATGGAAATGCTTACTTTTTACACAAGAGGTTTTCTCTAAAACCTGAATTTAATTGTACAGATACCAGAGCAGAATATCAAATGAGGCAGAGGACAGCAGAACTTCCCAGAGAGCTGCTGGCAAAGGAGGAAAAGATATTTCATTTTCACTTTGATAGGATAAGCGAAGACCAGCAGCTATGAATATGAAGTATTTCTAATTCAGCTCTAATTAGTGTGGTGGCACAATTGTAATTGGGTTTTGATTGTGAGTAAAGAGCAGGGAAAACAAACAATTGTCAGTGTAAATTTAGTGAGTATAACCTGGCCAGAGCCTTKTTCTAGGCTGGGTCAGTGTGTTGGAAGGACAAACTGAGATCCATCCTGAGGGMAAAATTTGGGGCAAAAGATTGTTCCTTTTACAGACATTCTCAAACCTTATAAAAGCTATGCCTGGTGTCAGCAAGACAAAAAAAAAGATCTTTTTGTGTGGCCTGAAAGAGACTGGACAGCAGGAGAAACACAGAAATGTGGCAGAAAATAATAATAATGGCAGCCCCAAGCAGAAAATACCAGACAAACAACGAGGCTGATGATAAATGCTCGTTAGGGGTGAGTGATGGGTGCTCTGGAGAACACTCAATGAATGATCAGTGATTTAAAAATGCTGACAGTGACTGGCTGGAACTGTCCAACACAAACATGGTCTGGAGGATGCTGCTCTGGTTTCTGCAGCCACTGAGTCAAACACAGTCACACCTCAGGCCTTGGGGATGGGGCAAAGAAATGCTAAAACCAAATAAAATAAAACATTCTTCTGTGCAATCTCCTTTTTTAGGATTAAACTTCCCCAACTCCATGGAAGAAGAACATGTTCTGTTCAGCTGAAAGCCTGAGAGCTCTGATGGAGAGCTGAGATGTCCAACACCTTGGCATGCACCAGCCTTGGCAGCTCGAAAAAGAATTATTTGGACATCAAAATAAAACTGGAGAAGAGTCAAGTGGACCTTCCTCACTTTACACAAACCTGAAAAACATCCAGTACATAATCTACTTGCATAATGAACTTATAAATGCCACTAGAAGCCAAAAACCTGTGGTGGAATGGATATTATCCAGAATTATCATTATCCAGAGAAGGATTTTTGGACTTGAAATAAGATCTGGAGATAGCTCAGGACTGATAAATCACTTGTGGCATCATCAGCATTCATGTGCCCTGTCCAGAACAATTCCAGGAGCTGCATGGAATAAAACCACAGGAACTGATTCTTGTGATTTTATTGCCTTGGAAGTTTTCAAAAGAATCAGAACAGACCAACAAAGATTTACTGGAAGGAGCTTCTGATGTTGTTCTGCCATAATCTGCATCAGTTACTGTGGTAACAAGTCTAAAAGTTGCTCATTCAATCAATTTCCCTGACTTTTAGGCTCCAAGACTAAAACCAGTTTTACTCTCTCAACACACTTGTAAAACGTGTCCAGATCTATTTTAGAGACTTTGGTAAAAACCAAAAAAAAGGTGAATCAAGACTTGATTCCCAGTGCTGGAGTTAGTATAGCCCAGTGCAGAGGTCCTGTCTGTCAGGGAGAATAAACTCAAAAATATTTCCCTCTGTATTCTACTTACATTAAAACAATGTGAAAACCCTTTCCAACTGTGCCTACTTTACAGAGRAGGCAAATTAATGTTAAAATGCATTTTATAAAAATTTCTGTGCTGTCTACTTTMCTTTTTGGCTTTTATTTCACCTCAACATTAAATGCATCGAGCTTTCAACACAATTTAGGAGCAATCAGTGTCAAATTAGTAAGGAATATCAGGACAGAAAGCAGCAAGTAAACTTTGAGGTAAAAAATAAAGAGAAATGACTGCAAAAAAGGCATCTTTTTCCATCTGTAGAGTTAGACACAAATGGAAATCAGGTGGGTTTAAGTCTCTGGACCATTCGACAGCAACCACACATCTGCTCAGCGAGGGATCGTGACCCAGAAAGCAACTGTGGCACAGGATGCTCCTGCATACTGAGCAGGGGGAAGGGAGAAAATAAACCTGGAAAACCTCAGCTGAATGTGGATCTGAGGAAAGGGAAAGCAAACTGATGGTTAGATTGCAAAAACACCGATGGGAAGGATGGCAGCAGAAACCAGAGACAGAGGATCTGTCCCTTTGGAACCTCTGGAAAGGCAAACACTGAGCAGGGGATGAGTGCAGGGCTGTCCAACCCCTGCACAGGTGAGTTCCTGCTTTTTATGACAAACAGAGCAGTGCAAAAACACCACATCAGCTGTACAAATATCAAACGATCCCTTTATGAAAACAAAAATGAATTAAATCCCTTCTGTGCTGGTGGAGTTTTGTCCTGTGGTAAAACCCCACTCCAGACAGCATCTCCCTCCTTTCTCCCACGCTCTGAAAAGCAGTGAGAGTTMCAGATCAATTATTAATGAGATTTCCAATATTTCAGCTGGCACCAGAACCAGCCTCTCCTCCAAAGCAACAGGGCTGCCTCGCACTTGCAAATTTAATTTCAGGCTCTGCAGTCCGACATAAACATTCAGCAGGAGAGATCCCTCAGTCAGATTTGGATTCCTGTGCGCTCCTCACCGACAGTGATGATGGTGTTCAAAATCAAAGCTGACAATCTGGAACACAGAGCTGACATCCCATCTCATTTCCCACACATCTGCTGCACCTCCAGACTTTGGGAACGCTGAGCTACACCGTGCTACCCCTGACACTTGGTTATTTGCACTGTTTGTTGCATATCACCAAGCAGATGGTCGTATTTTATTTCCCCCACGATCTTTTAGGTGTTCCTGGTGCTAAAAATATTCTGCAAAACCAATTTAAATACTTCAGTATCAAAAAATCAGGGAATAGTAGCAACTGAGAGCTTTAAAAGCCACAAAGGGAAGCCTGAGAAASAGACACTGAAGATTAGATGGAGAAACCAGCAAACAATTCTCTGGAGATTTTAGCAGAGAATCAGGACAYATAATGAAATTTAGAACTTAGCATTAGAATAAAATGATGCATTTATGTCACTGACATTCTGTAGTTATGCATTAACATTCCACATCGGGCCATCCTTCTTCTGTTTTAGAGCCTTTTGAGATAGAAGATGAACACATCATTTTTTCCTATGGTGCCATGCAACCCCTGAAACACTGAATTCTCTGTGAATTTTAGATGCTCAGGATCCACAGAGCCAAGGAGGATGAGGGTACAGGGTCTAGTCATACAGGAGCAGGGAACCAGAGCCTGCAGTGATTCATCCCAAATGCCATCATTTCAGAAATTCCTACGGGTTCTGAGTGAGCCAAGGCAAGAAAATTCCAATTTTCAGAACTGATTCTAATGGATGGAACTGTGCAGAAGGAAAGGCAGACAGAGGAATGGCTGYACATCAATATTCCTGCTTGCAGGAAGGGCCCTGGGGACTGAAGCAGTGTTTTCACCCAGCTCCAGTGCYGAGCTGCCAGCTGCTATCAATTCCTGCATTCCAGCTGGAATTTCAGCCAGGTTGTCCCGAGGTGCTAGAAGCAGCTTCCAGGATTTAATATCCTGAAAACAAATAAGGGACCAAAAAAACCCCAATAACAGCAAAATCATCCAAAATCCCCCATTGGGCTGCTCTGAGCAGGGGAAGCCAGGCAGGTTGTGGGTCTTTCTCTGGCAAAATCCTTTTTCCAGGGTTAAATCCACAGGAGTTGGGTGGGAATGTATCCCAGCAGTGGGATAATTCTGTGCCTCTGCTGTACCTCAAGGACAATCAGCACTGGTCCATTCCTCATGGAATGGGGACTTGAGACAGCAGGCTCAAAAGTGCAACCAGAATGCTCCAGGGTTTTTTTTTCATTTGGGTTTGGATGGGTTTTTTTTTGTTTTGTAGAGGGTTTTTAAGTGTTTTTGGTGTTCGTTTTTTCTTCCAGAGGAAATAACCCTCAGCTAACACCACTTTTCATTTCAACACCATCTAAAGATTTTGAAGATACTTTGAATGCACAAAAAAAAGCAAGAAGGTTTTTACAGAGATCTGGGCACACTGGAACAATCCTTAAAAGGAAATCTGCAAACTGTAACACCACTATTAGGTACCAGTTCCTCCCATGCTCTTCAAGTAATTTATGTTGGAGAGACAGCTTTGTAAATTAGATTCATGGTCTGTTTCACTCCTAGGCAAAAAGTGGATTAAAATGTTGATCATTTTAGTCTGGGTTAAGCTGGAAACAATGATTTGGAAATGAAAATGAGGAAGTATAATTTAACAATTCTGTACAAATCTCTCCTTTGCCATTAAGAGGAATAACACACAATTTCATKTGCACACAGATAATGCAGACAGAAATTGCAAAGTTGTGATTAACTCTGCTTTGGCAAGTCATTCAGTCCTATTACAAATGTATAAGTTTAAAAAATGTTCACTTTATAACTGGCTAGCATCTTTCAAGATATAAAAATTTAATTCTATTCCACTGCTGCTTTCAATTTCTCAGTGGACAGAGCCTGGAGGCCACATTTCATAACACGCTTTTCTGAGTCACAGCATCAAATATTTATGAAGTGTTTATTTAGAGCATTGACAAAATCCTGTAGATCACCTCTGAATCCCTAATGGAAATCCAACACCTTGGGAGCATGCAATTAATCTCTGGATTTTTTGTAAGGAGGCTGTGGTATTCCCACACAGAATTCCAAGCTCAGGATGGTTCTCTTTCATAATCTGGAAATACTGAAGGTGATTGGCACCTGTAGCCTGAATTTGCAGGTGTTTATCCCATCTTTTGAGGTTCTTGGATAAGAACCAAGCAGCCTGAGGGCAGAATAAATAAGGACATTTTATGATCACACAAACCCCAGGCCTCAACTTCCCTTCTGAGAACCTGGAGTCTCTGCAAACAAAACCCCAAATCACCTGTAYAAACTGAATCCAAGCCACAAATATAATTAATCTGTTTTCAATGCCATTTGTGTATTTAGATACCCAAGATTCTTAAATATGGAAGCTGCTTTTCACAGATTTTCTYCATAATCAATAGACATCTATTGTGAATCTCCCACTCCAGAAATTCTTGGAGAGAAGATGCCCAACTTCATCACTTGATGCYCAGGATGCTGTCCCAGGTATAAAAGGAAAGCTGAAGGATGGAAGAATCCTCAGATTTTTCTTATTAACATCTAGGTAAGGTTTTTGCAGGAAAAGCAGCCTCAGAGAAAACTCCCCTCCCACGGGTCTTAGTGAGACCCCTGGGACCTGCAGCTCCAAGACAAAACAAGAAAACAAATCCCAGGAACAGCAGGTTCAGTTTGTACAAAACCTGCAATGCAGCTCTTTGCTGCTCTTCCTGCTTCTTCAAAGGAACTGTGACTTAAAATAAGAGAGAAASTCTTACCCTGGGGAGTGAAAAACAGCCCTAAAACGCTGCTGGTCCCTCACCACTCTGCCTTTAAAGCTTTACAGAGAAGTGGATTCCATCTCAATTTGGAATCAGGGCACGCTGACAGCACCAGTCCATCTCAACCTAATTTATCCTGGCCAGTCTTGTTTATTGTGCTCAGCTGCAGTCAGCTCCTGGTCTCTGCTTTGGAAAGGAAGCTGATGGACTGCAGGGAGCCTTAACCTGCAAAATGTAACAAGCTCACATCTCCAAGTCACCTGAAAAACAAGAACTGCTTTAATGATTAAAGGATTCGCTTGAGTTTATTTTTTCTGCTGCCATGTACTCACAGTGCCACAAAAATAGAATCAGAAGCAATTCCTTTTGAAGATGGGCCCTATTGTTACATGAACACTTCCATGAAATCATTATGAATCACTTGAAGGACAGCAGGATCCTGCTGTACATCATTAGTGACATTTAGTAGTAAACAACTCAGCTACCAAGTCAGGCAGAGCACAAGCGTGAAAAATATCTGAAGGTGGAGAAGCAGAATTCCAGGAAAGATCCTAASTGGTGTACGTGGGCAAATCTGCACTGACAACACAACCTGTGTCTGCAAATGGACTGCCAGGAGTTTCAGCCCTTCTGGTGGTGACATTTTATTCTACTGCTGCTCTAAGGACAAAGAGCAGCACTTATTACAGGAAAAAAAAAAATAAAACCAACCCAAAATTGAGTGGAATTAACTCTCCACACGCAACCATTTGTATCTCCACAGACACACACCACTAGAACTTTTTAAAATAGCAGCACACAGAAACCCAATTAGCACCTAAATGAAACATTTGGTAGTTCAGACTTCCAATATTTCTGTGGCTCCTGYGTAAATGGAACTCATCCATAATGAGCTCTGCAATACTCCGAGCACCACCATGCACTCCCCATGAGGAAACTTTCCTTCCTTTTAGGAGAGCTCTCCTAAAAAAGGGGTRCAAAGGCAGAGATTGTGTACTGCTCAGCTCTTCCATCAAATTGGGTGCAATTTCCCCTCCCAGTGACTCAGGAACATGTTCTCACCTTGGCAGGTACACTTCCACTTTTTGCTTCTTCACAGAATTAGCCCATTCATTAATCAAGGAGGCTTTGACCAGTGGTTCCAGGGTGGCCAGTGGAACTTCCTGCCTGGAAAGGACAATCATCATGCTGATCTCATCCCCCTCATAAGGGATTTCCAGGACCTGGTAGATTCCTCCTGCTTCATTGGAGCCATCGCTGAACTCTCCTAGAGGAGAAAAACAACAAAAAAAAAAACTGTTAGAAGTGTTTTGTCTTCAATTAAAAAGGCCTAATCCTAGGCAGAATTTACTAGATACTGGGACTAAAAATGATCCTCTTTATTCTGTATAAAATTTATATTGGTTTGTTCATCACAGAATTTGAGGCTTATATTAGATTTCTTAAAGAACACAAGCTCAAGCCATCACACAGTTTGTAGATAATCACAGTCCTATGACATAACTGCCACTCAGAGAWGAATCTAAAACTTAAAACTGCTGAGACTTTCAGGAAAATGGGCAGAGGTTTTTTAATCAGGAGTGAGAATTTTTTAGTGATGAGACTGAGCAGTGCTGCCAGTGCCAGACACTTCAGAACCCACTTGGAGCTTAACCTCAAACTAAAAATGAYCATTAGTTCTGCTGTTCAAAGAACCCTATTTTACCAGTCCAACAGTAATGAGCAAACATTATGCATCTGAATGTTTAGTACAGCACAAGAAAAAAAAATATGATAAGCAGGACTAGCACAAGAATTGTCAAGGGGTTTAATACAATGGATAAACATCCTGAAATCCATGCTGTGGCACCAAACAGGTCATTATAAATGTTGCTGCCTAGTTATWATACATACATTAGGAAAAGACACCAAATCTGAATCTCTTCACTGGGCAAACACATTAAAAATTGTAGGTGGAGGAACAGACAGCAGGAATAAATGAATATTACTGCAACAAACCCATTTAGTGAAGACTTAGTAACTTCAAACTGCTACAAGTCTAACTCACCATAGTAGAACTCTCCCTGCTGGTACATCATTGGAATTTGCACTTCACTTTCATCATCTTTAGTGAAAGAAAAAGTTCTGGTATTTTCAGGCCTGAACTGTGACTTCCAGTTGCCTTTAAAGTAGATGGCATTGATGAGAGCCAAATGAGTTAGAGCACCGAAGTCTCTTGAAGACACAAAATCTTTGATCATGCCTAAAAAGGAACCCAACTGTCAGTCTGCATGTCAGAGAGAGCATTAAATCCAAAYTTGAGGGAGCTTGAAAAATGCAGGAAAATAAAAAGCAGCGTTAACATGTAATTTCCAATTCAGATGTTTCATTAAATCCCCAATTAAAGTGCCAGTGTTTTGTAAACCTAAATCACAGTGTAGGTGTGTAAASCCTTCCATCAAGTACATGTTAGTCAACCATTTCCTGATCACTGCTAAATATACCCTGCAAGGAAATCATGTGGAAAAAGGGTGACATATGGACTATTTACACTGCTGCTATGAAACAGTTCAGCACTTTCATCTTAAGGTCAGAGCTCCTACAAACTTTGGCTCCAATCCACAAAAGCACTTAAATGGGTGCTTGATTTAAAGGGTCCAAGTGCACCCATTGCAGCTTCACCTGGGCTGGTTCTGAAGGAGCTGAACGACAGTGATGGTCTGTTGAATTCAAAGCCAGGACTGACTATCCAAAATCCACATAAATTCCCAGCATTTGTTCCAGTGACACTAGCTCTTGAAAAGCAAAAGAGGGAAAACCATCTAGCATCTGCTCTATTCAGGGGAGGTATGGCAGCTGAGCATGGCAGCTGCTTTGCTCCCACTCCTAACTAAGTTCATTTACATCAGAATACAGCCTGGTACCTGCTGTGGCTCATCTCAAATGCCTTGCATTTCACCAAAATCCTTTCCAGCTTGGTAAACTGGGTGCATTGACCAGCTGTGTCACTGTTCTTCAAGAACTACAGCCTCCTTCAGAAAGCTTTCTTGCTCACTTCTATTTTTAGCTGACACTGCAATGCAAAGTGTTAAAACAAACACATTCCCCAGTCTGATTATTACTCCTTAATCCATGGTTTAAAAAAAAACAAATTAATTCTGCTTTCTGGAGCATGTGATCCTGACTAACTGGTGTGAAATTTGTGTATCACAGGGCTGGATTTCTTCCGGGTTGCTGTTTGTGCCTCATTTTATCTCGAATGTTCTAAGGAGGAAGGTGTGACCAATACTCACTTGGAGTTGAAAAAAAAATTAAGAAAGAAAACATTYCCAGATTTCTATTTGGTACTCATATTTCTTTATGTTTTTTTCAGCTGCATCTTGTTATTTCACTAATGAAATGTTAAGCATTTTTCTGCCCAGGGAAACCTTTGATGGTTCTGTTTTCTGCTCCGAGCCTCCCATCATGCTGGAAATGGAAACCTGCCTGTCCTGTGCCCCTTTCCTAAGGGGAAAATCAGCCTTCTCCTCCATCAGACAATGAGATGGAGTGGGCAGGGAGCAGCTGAGGGGCTGGAACTACCCCAACTTGACACTAAAAGCCCCCAGCCACCCTGCTGAGCCCTGCTTTTGCTTTTCCTTTTCCCTCAGGCAGACACCCTGTCTCTGGAAACACTCTGCAACCTGCTGCCTCGCTCACATCCATCTATTCCTGCAGCCTGAGAGAAAGGGCAGTTTGTTAGCAACATAATGGCTGCTCTCTCCCTYGGAAAAAAAACCATTTTCAAAATGGAATAAAAGCATTGCAGGAGGTGCTTTTCCACTCTGGAGCCATCCATTTCCACACAGCATTATGGGTTTTTAAGCACTCACACTACGTGGGGATGTGTTAATTCCTTCCAGGTGATGCCAATCCCTTCAGATTCCCAGTGGTTCAACTGTGCCAGAGCCAGACCCCAATGAATGATTCTCCAAAGATCAACCTGGCCAGATGAACCACGATGAGATCAGGCTCTGATCCCTCCTACAGGACACTMCCAGATATTGGGATTCTGCATATTCAGGAAATGCCACCACTCTGGGAGCTGCCAAGCCAAGCCAGGCATCCTGCAGCTCTCAATGTGCATATTTACAACAGCAATTTTGTGCTTAACTCCCCTGCTGCAAATTTGTGTTGTGGAACTGTTGACAGCGCTCCTAAAATCAACTACCCTCTCAACATGCTATCTCGTTTCCTCACATTGCCAAATATTACATTACACAGCCTGATTTTGTGGTTCAAAATTATCTTTTTATTCCCTACTATTCTATTTCTCAGYACCTTGTAAGTTTGAGTTCCTCAGAGGAGAAATACTCCACACATCCAAAGCATGAGCCAATAACCCCTCTGCAGACAACTTTCCTGCCATTAGCAATAATACTCACCATTTTTAAAAATAATTTAAAATACTATTAAAATGCCTACCATTAAAACAGTCTCATTCAATAAATATCACAGATGGTAAGAACCAGAGGAAAAATATTCAAATAGATGCCACATGATTAACAATGACTAATATTACTTATGACAGATCATTCCTACACAGGAAAAAAATAGAAATACTAGAATTCTTTTCCTGGGAGGAGAAACTTCAGTCTCAGACAGAACAGATAAAAGCCAAAGCACCAATCCATCAGCACTGTGCAAGTTTGGAAGCAGAAACACTTCCTGCAGGAAGTGTACAAAAGGATCATGTGGACTTACTATTTGTGTGATTCTCCACCCATTTATTGATCTGAGTAGCAACAGCTGCACTTTGGCTGAAATCTACATTCTCTACTTCRGCTTTAAAGTATTTTTTCACCAACTGCAGGAACTTGTCACTGACGTGAAAGCCATTCTGCACATAGAGGGAGTTGGCGATGTCCAGCACGTAGTGGCTTTCTTCAGARGTTGTCATGTCAGAAAGGTCCTTCAGGAAGGCAAACTCTTCACCTGGGGAAAGAAAAAAAACAGCTTCAGTGGCTCAGAAAAGGAAAGTTATTCCATGGTTTTTCTGCTGAAAACTCACAAAGATGTTTTATGCAAAGAAAAGTCATCTTTTAAAAGTAAACTTGTCTCTAAACCTACACACACCTTCAGATGTGAAGGAATAATCTACAAGAATATATTACTTAGAGTCTGTTTTTTCTACTAGCTATAATTAGTCTAATTAATGAGACATTTGAGTCCCACCAGAGGCAACTATCAATGGAAATCCTTTCTACACCAAAAGAGCAATTAAAAAAAAATATTCTTACAGGTCCCATTTCTAAGTACTGCCACCACAAATTCTTAACAGGACTTTTGTTCCTCCTAAATGTCAGTTGCATAAGGAAAAATGAGCTTCAMATTTTGAAACCAAGGACTTCCCACAGACTTTTCTATTCCAAAAGGAGGTCTAGAATCTCCCAGGATCCTTTGTAGGGCAGTACAGAACCTTTGTTGGGTAATGGGGAATACTGAGTAGGACTAAAGCAGTCTGCTTTAGGACAGGAAGCTTCTACTGCTGCATCCTATGCCTGAAGCTGAAAATCCTAATTTAAAACCCCACAAAATAAACCTTAAGAACTGATTTCAATGATATATTCCAAGCAGAAATCATGAGAATAATTCATTGAATGCCACTGATATGCAAGAATAGTGAATAGCCCAGAACAAATCAACTGCTTAACTCCCTCAATTACAGCTAAGGGATAACTGATTAATGTTTTAGAGACAAAATGCAGAACAAATGYAGAACAAAGAGAGACAAAATGTACAATAAATTTGTACTGCAGCCTCCATAGAGAGGCATCATCTCTGCAGTGGTTCTGATAAACACAATTTAATGTCTGTGTTCAGAAATTCCTCCCCAGGATCCTTTCACTGAGGACTCCAAAGTCCAGCACATTGCATGRGTAAGAAATTTCATTCAGGTTTTGAATCAGTTACTTGGATATCAACAGAAGCAATTTTGCTGAAACTACTGTTTCCCTTTTAAGGTTTCACTATAATACCTAAAAAGGATATTCCTAAAAAACCTCCTATTTCTAGAGGGCAAGGCAAGTTTATTTTGCAGTAGAAACAAGTGTGAGCTGCAATTGCTGAAGATTCAGGTTCCCCAGCCAGGGTTTTATTCAGCATCTCCCAGCTCCTGCAGCACCCACACGTTTGAGCCTGCCCAGGCCATCAAGGATATCAAGAAATCCAGTGATTAATAACCCTTGCTCTTGTTTTTCTAAACCAAAAATCCCCCCAGTCAGCTGTGATGAAAAGGCCTCACCGTTTTTTAAGCCGTCAAACCCCAAGGAATGTCGGATTTCTTTCAAGGTGGTTCCATGGGCTCCCAGCTCCACCATTCCCATGGCAATGGCAATGCTCARGGGAGAGAACACGATGTTCTCATCCTCCCTCGTGGCTCGTAGCTGGTTGTAAACGTTCACCGAGAGCTCAGCGATGGTTTCATCGGGAAAATTGGTCTTGAAGGCTTCGCTTTGCAAAGCCAGCAAAGACAGCAGTCCCAGGAAATACATGTCTGGGGATTTTAAGGTCTGCAAGATAAATTTYAGACAAAATAAGATTGTTTGAACAATATAAAACTCAACCTGGGAGAAAGAAGAATAGTCAATTTTTAAATCTGTGGAGGAAGAAAACCCCCTACTCAGAGTTCAGTGCACTGTGCAGTTATTTGGAGGAGACACTGCTCAAATGGAAGTAATGATGTAYTTTCAAACAAAAATAACCTCCTCCATTATGTAACTATGTGTTTGTGCAGTCTTTCAGCCCCAGACCAACAAAACCCTCACAGCTTCTACAAAAAAAGACCCCCCAAGACAGAAACCCCTTCCCTGCTCCTCTTTGGAATGGTGGTTGTTTAGCAATGCTGACCTGGAATAGCCTTGTGTTTCTGCAGTTTTTCACCAAGAAGACCCATAAATTTGCTATTTCTTTCATTTGACCTTCTGGTWAGATGTAACTTATTTATCTAAGTCACTCTAAGCCCCACCAGGTAAAACTATTTCAAGCAGTGTAAGAGAGCTGCCTGACACCCTTGACAAAGTTACYGTTCCATGGTGTTGCTCAGTTGCAAAACACACGGCAAGCAGCCAAAAATTCTTTGAAAGAAAACAGAAATCAATCATGCCTTGGTTACCAAATAAACCCCCTTTTGTTAGTAAATAACAGTGGAAATTGGGTAGATCTGGTAGCTGGGAGTCAACCCCCGCTCCGAGAGCCTCAGAGGACGAGGGTACCGCACGGTGAGAAAGATCCAACGGTGGGAACCAGAAAGGAAACTAAATTTAAAAAAGGGTTAGCACTGATGCTTCTGACTAATCCATCCTCCGAGCTTTGCTGAAATGCTCTGGGGTAAGCAACAGTTCTCACTCTACCCCAGTTTAGCTCATCACACCACACAACTGCTGATAGTAAAACCCCAGCTCCCGGAGCGGCGAATGTGTAACTCCATCCTTCCATYTTTATTTGCCTTTTAAYTCYGTGCTACCTTGGCAGGGACCMACCTCTCTTTTTCTCTTTTTCTCTCTGTTTCTCTTTTTCCTCTCTGTTTCTCTTTTTCCTCTCTGTTTCTTGGTTAAGCAACACCAACAACCATTGCTCCCATTTCAACGCCTTCCCCTCTGCCACTCTGAGACACAAGGGAACAAATCCTCCTGGAGCAGGGGTTTGGACAGGACAAGGCTCAGAGCTTGAGCCACAAGTGTTTACAAGTTGTTGTGCCAGGCTGCAGGGCTCAGCACAGCACAGATTTGTGCGAATGCTGCTGCTCCASTGAATCAATTTGCATGCAGCCAGCCCGAGTGCCTGTCCTTATGCTTCCCAGCAATCCCGGGGCTTTTATAGACATGATACACAGKAAGCTTTATACAACATTTATATTCTGCATTTCATCTTCAAAGGCCTGCGTAGCATTATCTAATTCACTCGCACAGCGCTGAATGATCCATAATTTAAGTGTTATTACTCGCATTTTAGAGCTGAGAAAATACAAAGAACAACAGGGTACACACACGTGCCTTGGCAGCCTCCGGTGCCAGCACTAGTTAAGATTCCTCCTGTCCCCCAGCCTCCATCAGCCTTTGTTTAGTCCTGAACTGGGAAAATTAAAGAGATGGATCAGTGCAGCAATCCCACATGGCTCAGGGAAAAAGCAGAGCCTTGCTCTCCCCTTCCCTGCATCTCCTGATTCTTTCCACGTATGAAAGAAATACTCCCCTTTCCTAAATTTCCAATAAACTCTCATCTGTGGTGGCATCACTTCACTTTTCTGGACTTCCTGATCAATTTTCCTCTGATTCTTGRTAAGACAGCAAAAACCTCCACTGACAGCTCTCACTCTATTTAGGAACAGCACAGGTAAGTCATTACAAGCCTAAAGCACCAGCTTTAACATTTCTGCCTGCATGTTCCACTCCATTCCTTACAGAATTTCTACTGCTGCCCAATGCAAAACACCAGTCTGACCATTGTTATTTATTTCAGAAACACTGAGACATTTTTTATAATCTCAAATGTTACCAACACASCAGAAACTTCCCCAATTTCTCAACAGCAGTTCATTTTTTTAAGCTGCCCCATTATAAATTATTGACTTAAGGATATTAAGGTTTCTGCTATAGAAAATAACTGGATTTCTCTGTGATCATGGGCATTGTAGATTTATTTAAAAACCCTGGAGCATGCCTCTGCCAATGTTACATAACAYTTCAGTCAGCACATCACCATGATAGACTGAGCCCAGGTATTATTCTCTTATCCTAAAAGCTGCACACGGYAAGAAAAGCTTAATAAACCTCCATCACACAGGTCTAGAGTGGCCCCAAAAACGGTACTCAGAAAATAGATAAGCAGGAGCTCATTTTTCTTTYGTTGAGAATGAGCCCAAATTTGGGAGCTCTCCCATCCTGATCTATACAAACAAGTTGTGCAGCTCAACGTAGATGCAATTATTCAGAGAGCTAAAGCTTTCCACTCCTGGATCAAGAACAGCTTGAGCTCACTTTGAGACCTGAGACCTTTTAAAACAGACGTAAAATAATCTGCAATTTTAAAAAAGGGAAGTTCCCCAGCCTTGCAGAGGCAGCTGTTGAGCACTCCATCACTGATCTCTGTCCTATGCTCTACTGCCAGACAGGCTTAAATAATTGCTGAGGGGAAGGAGGGGGGAAATTTATACAGCTTAATTAAGTGTTTAACATGCAAGTCAGACTGTCTGAATGCTAATAAAATATTTGTTATTAGGCAKTGCTAGAACCCCAACATTACATACAAATCAAAACCATTCTTCTTTGTGACCACTCAGCAAAAGCTCGTCATGCGAAATAATTAAGTTGTATTACTTTCATTATTTGGTTGGACAGAAAATAGAGCAAGTACATAGATGGAGATAAAATTTATATTGAAATAATCTTAACAAGAAAAAGTACCAAACTTGTGCTTTTAAATACATGCCATATCCCACTAATGGCAGCACAAGGGGCTGAACTGTGCAGAATAGAAGTTCCCAGTAGGAATCAATTAAAACCAAACAATTTTGATTTCCCTCCACTGCCCTTCCATTTTAGTGCAGAGAGATTTTCAAATAAAGTTCCCAGTGAAGTTCCCCATACAGACACCCAGGGGAAAGAAAAGCAGACAGGGAGGCAGGAATGAACAGCCAGATATAGGCAGAGGATTTACCAGCTCTTTTGTTGGCAATTCTCTCTAAAAATATTTGCGAAAATACAAAAATAAATGAATGAATACAGTGCAAGGGAAGATGCTTTAAAGCAAACTGAAGAYCTGTGGCTGCTGGTCAGTGGGGAGGAGGCTGTAAAACACCACAGACACCTGATCAATCCTTGCCAGCCAGCATGAAAATGGTCTCATCCCATCCATCAAACGGGAAATGTCGGTGGTAAATTCCTCAGTTCAATTCCTCTCACACTTGTGCTTCGTGGACACACTGCTCTGCTGACAACTGGGAATCCAGCTCTTAATTATCATTCCAGCCAGAGCAGYTCCTGCTGCTCTGATCCTGCCTCACTTCAGCCTGCATTACTTTGGGGTTTGTGCTTTCTGATGCAGGAGGGCTGGATCCAGCACCAATTCTGGTGCAGCATCTTCTCAKCATCTCTGCCCATCGGAGCCAAGGGCACCCAGGTTTGTCACTGCAGCAGCACTGAGAGCATCTTYAAATGGCCTGGACTCTATTCACAAACACTCTCAGTGAAGGAAATGAAGCTGAACATTATGTAATGCACAGCCAGGAAGTTAAACAGTCCCTGTGAGTATCATCAAACTTTTTACTCAGTCTTTTCTGTCTTCCTCAGACATCCCCAGTACAGTCTGTCACTGCAGATTTGCATCAGTGCAATCTGATTAAATAATACTGCAGCGGTGGAAAAGGAGACAATGTCCCCACTGAACAATGTTTAAAAATCAAGAATCATCAGTTTCAAAAGTTACTGTGYGCATTTTGCTTTCATTGGCTAAATAAAAGAATGAAAAAAAAAGCTGTTAAAAATACTTTAACTCCTCAGCCATACAGATGTTTAGGCCAAAGGATGAATTCCTCATTTGAGGGTCTGAGATTCAGATTCCGAGTTTTGTTTGATTTTACCGTAACTGATGCATGAACACCTCTCTCCTACCAGACAATCCAGGAATCAGCACAAGCACACACTCTCCACAGTTTCTTGGAAAACAATTGTGAATCACAAACCCTGAGTTGCTGCAGAGGTCTCTCAGAGTGTATCAGTTTTGTTCGGGCTTACAACTGCTCTCAGGGGAAAAAGGCAGCGAGAGAACACTGAAAAACAGCACTCCAGATACACATCCTTCAGTGGGAACTGGCACTGAGGTCATACCCAGTTCAATTCCCAGGAAACCTTTTAGTCAGCATTTCGGAAAACATCTGCAAAGGTGTCGTCAGTGGCAAAATTGAGCCCAGCACATTTCCACAAGTGGCCACAACCAAGCTCAGCACTCCCATTCACCTTCCCTGGGGCCAGCCCAGATGTTCTCCTGTGCATGGGCACAAGAAACAGCCATTCCTGTGCTGTTTGAAGAAAAACATTCATCTGATAAATACAGATGCTTAGCCAGCTCTTGCCTTTCCCCAGCATAAGGCTGGGATGACTAAGAGGAAGCAGAACAAATTCGCCCCCTCACACCCACTAACTCTGAACTATTCGGTTCCAGTAAAATGCAAAAGGGGCAGGMGCTCTCCGTAAGCCAAGATATTTTGAGATATCCTATCAACAAACTCCAACTGAGTTCACAGACATGAGGTACCACGAATTTTGAAACAGCGAGACCTGGACTTGGCGTAGGAAGGTGCCAAAAATTCAATTAAGGGTTGAATTCTAGTGCCTTGTACTTGTCAGACAGGTTGAAAAAATGGRTTATAATTTCCTTTTCTTTTACACCTTTACAGAGGGTTTTATAAAGAAACYAATTTATGGCTTTAAAAACCTACAAAACAAAGCTGTGATACATTGCCTTAGCTCCTCAGCACGCAGAGACTAAACTAAGATTAGTTGCCTTCAAGATT